AGTTTAGGTTTGTGTGCACGCACTGCAATGAAGAACGGGTCATTTCGACTAAGCACTCGAAGTAAACCAACATCAACGAGGCTGCTTCAATGAGCACCTTATGCACTGGAAATGGGTTCAGCTCGATGGAAGAGATATTCTATCTCCTGAAGATTTCTTGCATGTCGCCGAAAATATGCAGCAGGTATGAAGAAAGCATAGGGTTGAAGTGGGCAAACTCTTTGCTCTCTGAAATGGTCGCGGCTGGAAAAAGGAGCACATAATGCCATGAGAAATCGGAGACTACGCTGAGGATGGAGTGCCCTACATAACTGTCGTCGCCGATGGTGCCTGGGCCCACTGCAGTTACGGCCACCGATATACGTCAAGCTCAGGTGTTGCTGTCATCATTTGCTAATGAACAAGAAACATCCTATACCTCCCTGTTCGTAACAAGTATTGATGTACTTGCAATTTTTACATGAGCAAGAATGCGACTCCACGCAATCACGCCTGCTTCAGAAACTGGGACGGACCTTCAACTGCAATGAAGTCTAATATCGTCGCCGAAGGACTCCGGGAAAGCCGCGATATGCATGGCTTAGAGCACAGAAGAGTTATAGAAAATGGAGATTTTAACGTCGAAAAGGCCTTCAAAACCATTGTTGATTATGGAAGAATGACAACAAATGTGTCTTGAGTTAACCATGTTATTAAGAACTACACCAAGTCAGTCTACGGCATAAGGAGCTCAGGAGGAAGTCACGCAAAGCATTTGACAAATGTAAAAATTGTAAGATTGACAGCCGCGGCAAAAGGAGCTGTCTCTACATCCGATGCACTCAAGCATACAACGCAAGAGCTCGCCAGAAATCTGCGAAATGAACCAATACATGTATTTAACGCATAACGACTGCTTCTCTAACTATACTGTCAGCAGCGTCAGCAGCAAGCATCAACACCATTTGAAGATCCCCCGTTCACGCTACAAACATACCTGATGAGGACCACGAATAATCTCGCGGAAAAAGCTTCTTCACTTGCTGTGAACTCTACCAGTCATGTGGAGGAAACTACATGTCTGGAGTCTCAACATTTTCTGGTGGAAATCGCGTAAACCACGGGCGAAGAGGATCGTACCAATGACGGTGTGTTGGAGCAGTAATCTCGTACAACGGTGGGAAAAAGTCGATGGCATCCTCTTCCATCTACTTCTTCTACCTGAAACGGTACCTCCGAAAAGTGAAGAGAAAGCGTCTGGCCGCCACATCATCCAAGCATCGCGCTCAAACCCTCGATGGAAATCCAAAGTGAACACGCCGGATGGGACGAACAGTACGGACCTAATGCTGAACAGCCTCAAGCCGAACCTTCTGAAGAGGAGAGTTCAGCAAAGGTCCAAAGGAAACTAGCCATGCTTCAAGTCACCGGCCCTCAACAACATCAGCTCTAGAGAGCAGCAGTCGGGCAGTCTGCGAATGAAAGGTGGGCTCTCGAAAGATGAGATCGCCTGACAGCTTCCATGTACGGGGAGGTTTGCAAGCGCTTACCAACGACGCTCTGCGGCAAACTGCTCCTTTGCATTCTCTACGCGTCACCATTCCTAACAGCCTCCATGAAGCGTGATAAAAAAAAAAAATTGGCTCAAAGAAATTCAGGAGTACAGGCAAAAGACAAACAACATCGTAGAAAGATGCGGTTTATTTATGGACATAGAACAGTGATATTTTGCGGATTCTCCCGACGGCTTGATTAGAGACGATGGACTCATTGAAGTGAAGTGCCCCGACAGCAAGACACTGCTTGAATCGTCGAAATCAAGCAAAGGTTTCGGCCTTCATTCTGGACAAGACTCAAATCTGTTCCTCAAGAATTTTTTTCATTTTTTTAACCAGAATTATGTACAACTGAACATTTTGAAGATGAGGTACTGCTTTCTCGTAGTGTGGAACTCAGGCGACACTCATACAGAAGTTGTCCAGCGTGGTGAGAAATTCTGGCATGACCACGCTTCTACGGTTGCTTTTCTTTTACAAGGTATGCCTGCTACCGGAGATCACCGACCCCGTGTTCTCTACACATTAGAAATACGAGAGCCATCTCGTACTCTCTAAGCAATAAAACAAAAAAAGACAAAAATGTTGAGTAAAAGAAGCAAAAAAGAGGCCAACATCTACTTCTATCAATGACAAGGAACAGCTCTGTAACCTTTTAGATGACAGTACATCGTCCTGAATATTTCATCTGAACTGAAATACCGTTGCCTGTATAATGAAAACATGCCATTCACAAGGTTACAACTGTAACACCGTTACGCGAAGTGTTTTTGCAGAATTATAACACTCCACAGATATTTTCGTATCACCGCAAAATCACAGCTGGTAGCAAGGGTAAAAACTGTAAGATGTCGGTTGTTTATCGTTTTAGAGAACTCTGTCACTGGCCAATGAGCGTTGGATTTCTGTACTTATGTCCTCAGGAAGTGATCGCACCACAAGCGCGTTTTGTGAAAAGTATGTATCGGGTCAGGAATCTGTGTGTGTTTGTCGCGTTGACATTTTTCATCCAAGGTCGACTCCCGTGCTGACGTGTCTCTTGAGAGTTCAGCGAGTGAATATTCTTTATTGATTTTTGTGGGTTGTATCATCCGCTTTGTTTTAAAACTCGCGTCTTATCAACGAGTTCCGTCATTTCAGTAGCCATTTAAAATTAAAATGTTCTGGCGATAAGAATTTTACCACGTGTTGTGCCTTGCGTTCTTTGACGTCAATTCCGTTATAATAATGTTATAATTTTGTATACGTAATGACTCGACGTGTCAACAGGTAGGAGCCATTTCTGGGCTGCATGGCTTTTCGCAAGAGTTGCAAGATAATATCTGTATATAGCTTCCTTCTTGGCAATCTGCCGTGCCATCTGTTTTCGATTATTCGTAACACATGGTACTGCATGAGAGCCTTCTGTGTATTTCACTGAGGGCGTATAGTGTTAAAATATAGTTTTGTATAATATGTACAGTGCCGCATTGTTGCGCATTCTTTTTGCTTCGCAATAATAAAATGATGGAAGTATACTATGTTGTTTCACTCTTTTGCGTATTTTATTTGTTATACCTCAAGTTTTTTTTAACTCGTTGCTAAAACTTCAGACCATAAACATAAGTTTCCAATGTGTGCTGTTCCACGTTCAAAAAATGATTAACGGCATTCATGCGCGTTTGTGATAAAAGTTTCAAGCAGAACTAACAAAAACGTATACAACTCATCAAGCATAGCAAAGCCAAATCTACTATTATTTACCCCGTTGGGATCTGTCGACGTTTACATTATTGGTTGTAGTTGATAAGACACTATCTTTATCATAGGGGCCGTGATTTTTTTAGCTTTCTTCAATTATTATTTAGAATTAATCTTTGACGCTTGTAACCTGGGCAATACGCAATCGTTTTTTTTTTATCTTCTTTGCGCATTGACAGTCATCAAATAAAAATATAAAGATAGGTATAGTCGACCAAGAAACTGCACTCCATAAGTTGAGCTAATACAAGTTTCACGCCATGATCCCCGGGAACTTGACAAGACGGTGGCACAACGTGTTGGCGATGAGCCGCAACTATCGCCCTATGACCCGGCACCCCCCCACTGTGGGTTGCAACACATCTACCAGGACGCCGGTTACCGTGCACCTGAATGTCCCAGCGCAGTTGAACTGCGGCGCGATCAAGAGCTGTAGCATTAAAGGGATCGGAAGACCACGACTGCTCTCTCGCACAGGAACTTTAGAAGTCTGGCCATCGTCGCTTTTGTTAAGCAGTAAAGCGCGAAAAATTTGCGGTCGTAGAACACCACCATCGTTTTCAGCCGGTTTTTGAAACGACTGAGTGACAATGGAAGGCTCTCATCTACGCTGGGTTGCAGGAGTTCGTAGGTATTGATGCCAAAATTTACGATTTCCGTGAATGACGTGTCGGCTGCCACGACACCCAAAGACCAATTCGAGTCTCGAAGAATATCTTGAAATAGCTCCGAAACTACCTCGAGATATTGCAGAGAATTCCGGGTGTTTTCTCAGTCGAATGAGGTTTCAAGTCGAGTTTAAACTATGAAGCACAAAACTGTCAAGTGGAGTTTAAGCGGAGTTTCGAGGCGAGTAGCGTTTATGAATTCGGCCGTCAATGTTTAAGGTGAGTAACACAGTTGAAATGCAGACGCGCTTGAGTACTGAACCCAGGTCTGGGCTAAAACTTTCAAACCAGACCTGAGTGAAGCTCAAACTTGCAAACTTCGTTTCACCTAAAGCCCAGGCGCAGCCAAACCTCCGAGCTGATGGGACCAATCAGACAGAGTCAAAAGTGCATTGTCATCATCTGTTCGTCATATTACGTGGTTATCATCGTTGAACCAACCATAACCAGAAGGCGCCTAGCGATGTGCACTTTTAACGCTATTGACGCTCAAAACTATGCATCAATGAGTAGCTCATATATGCGGAAAGAGTGCTTAAACAGGAAGAATGCCTTACTTAGGGGCAAGAACAATCGTGGACACGTAACAAAGCCGTAGTGTAAAATCTTCGGCGCCAGTTTAAAGAGGCAGACGCGGGCGAAGATAGTACACGAAGGCTGCATCAGCGTTTGGCTGGAAGCCCTGTCCGACCTCTGATAACGGGATCACACTGTCAATATGTCATACAAAAGACAGTCTGCAGACACCGTCTGAGGCCTACCTTCTATGATGGTCCTGGAACGCTGGTCCTACAAAAAGTGCCTGGAGGCATCTTTGAAGCATAGAAAGCGAACATGCTTCGAAGATCCTTGAGGCATGTCCCCGGATATTTATGGCATATCTGCACGGAACACCTTGTCGTTTTACGTTGTATGAACAGTGTGAACTGTGGCGTTACATGACGCTAAAGAACACAACAGTATGGCCTTTCTATCTAGGGGGTGTTATAGTGCCTGATGCCTCCGCTGTAGGGGTGTCGACACTCCGGTGATGTGCTGGTGTTCACCCGGTACTCACCGTAAAGCAGGCAGAGTTCCCTCGACAAAGGACAATGGACGTTTATGTTGAGCGTGAGCAGCAGCGTTGTGATGCCCGGGTAAAGCTCGCTGAAGCCCGTCGCGTCAGTGCCGAAATTGAGGAAGGCACCCACGCAAGAGATGCCGTGCGGATGGTAGCCGAAGATGTAGTTGCGGTTTGGGTCCAGCTCGCCCGTCTTCACCAGGCTCACCGGGTAGTAGTCCCGGGCGTACTTCCAGACGAGCCACCGACGCACCCAGCCGTTGGGGCGTCCTCCGCGCTTGGGCGTCTTGAAGTCGTAGACCATCCAGATGGTGTACAGCAGCGGAACGTAGTAGAAGGGCGTGAAGAAGAGCAGGTACGCGAAGAGCGCCGCGCCCCACACGACGTTGAGGAAGAAGAGGAACGCGCAGAACAACACCGCCAGCGTCTGCATCCGCCGCTTGAGCGGTATGTTAAGAGGTGCGAAGTCGACGCCCAAGGCCCTCATGGTACTTGAAGCACTGCACATAGTTCCAGTGAATTCGGAAAGCACGTCAGTGTTCAATATTAAACAGAAAGAATGCCAAAGGTTAAAGAGCCAGTGCAACAACATTTCAATGGAATGTTTCTTGCTTGACACGCCGACCTACGATCTGTGGGTAAATCTGTAAAGCGTCTAAAAGAGGCTTTACACACCTGCCAAATTACATCCGCCATTGCTGATTTTCTTTTGTTTTACAGAGATACCGAGCCACCAAAAACTGGCGTTGACGAGTCTCGCGAAAGGCCAATGCTGGTGAGGAGGAAAGAGTGGAGTCTCTAATAGCACTGAGCTGGCCTGCTATGGTAAACACGAAATGAAGTAAATGGAATAAGAGTTAACAATAACTGAAGGGCGGTTATACAGGCTCCTATGCACAGCTGCTGTAAAGCATCTATACTTCGTTCCAGATTATACCACGGTGAAGAAACATTTAGGGGATGGCTCTCTGTACGACGCGGCGACCACATTATGTTCGGCACACCGAGCGCTTCACTCGCACGGGGATAGGTGGCACCCAAGTATCGGGTCCCTTCCAAACCGACCGCTCCGGTTGCTTCGCCTGAGTGTTTTAGTAACGTCGATTCCAGCGCTTCAGCGAGTGACACCGGCGGGTTGCGGGCTGCTCGTTGCTGCCTGAACATACCAAGTTGTGTATATACTACGTTTATTTGAGTACATTACCAGAGCCGCCAGCGGGAATCAACTGTAGGGATGGCTCACAAGTCTGTGTTGGAGAAATTATCGAGTGCGTTGCGTTCCCACTGTAGTACAGCCTGCAAGTTCACCTCCTCTTTGCGCACCTCTTGAGTTTGTTTTCCCGCGACCTCAACGAATGACGTCATGGAATTGACTGCTTCGTCATCACGCATTTTCTACGCGTTCTCTATGTCGCCCTTTGGTTGGCGGGCCCCTCATTGCGTTCCGATGCGCCAAAGAAGCATATTAGAACACTTGCTGGCCGAACGGCTTACCATGCCACAAACGTGCTGGCGAACGGGCAGCATCTCGCATGTATCCTTGTAACAGTTTTGACCCACGTATATATTTTCTTTTTTTTCTTTTTTACTTACCACTGCTTCACTTTGAAAGTAAAATGCCTAAAGACAGAAACAGAGGGGGATAGATACAAGGACATGGTGTACTTTCAACTAAAGCTTTATTTTGGAAACACACAAGTGAAAAAAAAATAAAACGTATGCGCTAAAAGCATTAAAAGTAAAAAAGACGACGCCACCTAATGCATGACTTGCTCATGGCGGATATACGCAAACCTCTTATTAGAGGGCGCTAGCAAAGGGGCGCTGACACAAACATCTTTTCCATACAATTTTGCGGGCCATTTTTTTTCGCTCATTATTTTTGTGTTTTTTTATCTTGTTTGCATTCGCAGTGGTCACAGTGTACTGCCAAGTGACCAGACGGGGTATGTCTGGTGGCGGCGGAGTGTTCTCTTAATCTGTCAATGATGCACCTCTCCGTTTGGCCCATGTATGCTTCCTCCCACGGAAAAGAGGAATGGCATACGTCACACCATCGATACATTCCAAGAATCTGAGTTGTGCTGCGCTTCGTGCATATTCCCTCTGTCTACGCCGACTCATCTGAGATTTCATTGATTGCTTTGCACAGGTTGGGCTAGTTCATTCAGCGCAGAAACGACAACCGGTATATGGAAACGATTAGTCACTTTCTTCAGGTTGTGTGGTAATTTCTTTATGCAGGTAGGACCACAGGTCTGGCCTTCCTCTAGGGTGAACCGTCTTGCTGCTCGTCACGGCTTTTAGTTTTTATATTTCTTTGCGAGGATCTCTTCAGGCAGGTTTACACATTTGCGTTGGTTGCATTCGCACACAACCAAACGACTGTAACGACAAAGTAACCGGGACAAGTTTTCGCCGCACACAGCATGGCAAGCGATCCCAAGAGTAGCTTCGCGAAGCAATCCACGAGTCACGGTTGTGGCGGTGTTTTGGTATTTGCGGTCGTCTCGGTTGCTTGCGAATGCAACCGTTGCAAATGTGTGAACCAGCCTTTACACGTAACAGAGAACTTGTAAAGGGAAGCCTGAAGTGGTCGCGTAATAGCGAGGCACAAGGCCCGAAAGCGCAAGGCTCAAGCGCGAGCCCCCGGGGCGGCCGAGACTTAGGAGACCGGCCAACCAAATGTGCCAGTCGAAAAAAGCCCCCCCCCCCCCCCTTCAATCAGTAAGAGTTTTGAGAGTAAGAAAATCAAAGGAAGTGTTGCTGAGCCAGTGGCTCTACGCTGGCGTTTATATATACATTCATCATCGAAAGGGGGCGCCACAATTTAAATACAATTCCGTCGCTACATTTGCGCCCTCTACATCAGCTTGTTGATCTGTGAATAAAAATCTGCTGCTCATCCGGTGATAGCAGAATATTTTTAACGAGGAGGCAATGCAAGTGGAGGCAATTCACCTTTTTACGAGCTTGGAGTAAGCGGAGCCAAACTTTAGCATCCCATTCTTGGACCCCGGCTCGCACGCTAGACATGGTCGTTTCCAAAATAAGGCCCCAAATACAGAAACTGCACTCGACCAGAGCTTGCATTTTCATGAGTAAAGCTAAGCTAAGCGCACAGCTCATGAAAAGCTTCATCAGCTCAGAAATGACTTCGTCAGTCAACTCTACATAAATAAAAACCAACACCAAACATTCATCAACGTATCAAGAAACTTTCACAATTTTTTTTTCGTTTTTTTTTCTCTGACATGGTTCTGTTATAGAAGGCGAGAAAAATGTTGCATAGAACTGGTGCTACTGTCAGGCCTATGCAGATCCCACGCTTTTGCAAATACAGTTCTCCCTAAAAATAAACACATTAAAGCCGATTTAATCAGTCAACAGCTCAAAAATGAAAAAAAAAAACGTTAATCTTAAGGCAGCATAAATTCCGGAAAGAATTGCGCCATTTTCTTGAATGCAAAGTTTAACAGACGCCAGCAGTTGTTTGTGTGGAGTAGAGTAATATAGATCCCTACATTAATTGACTGTTCACTCGCTCATAGCAACGTTTCTTTATGTAAAAAAATATATTGTTTCCTCGCAATTTCTAAATAGGAAAAGGGTCCCCCAGCTCCAAAGCCGAAAGCTGCTTGCAGAAGAAAAAGCCCACCTTCTGCTGCCATAAATCTATTTCGGTTACGATAGACCTGAAGGGCATTCATTCTTGTGTTTTAGCGGTGAAAAAGAGTTGTAGATCTACCTTTTTAACGTTAACACTTTCTTTGCTAGCCCTCATAATTCTCATTTGTTGCATAAAACCTTAGTCTGGGATTTGACCTTAATCAGCGAAACACTGTTTACAAGTTTAAATTGTTTTTTTCAGCGTTTCCCTGTGGAGTCCTAATTGAACAATATCTCCCGCACGACGACAAAACCTGTGACAGCCTTGTCAGCTGTCAAAAGTTGGATGCAATTGTCTTTGAAGTGAGATACAACACGATTCGTATTCATTTTTTTCCTTTTTTTCTGATCAGTTCCCAAAGTGCGCAAAATAGCATCCACTCGTTCCGAGATGCGCCTTTCTTTCCCTTGCTGCTCCGGCTTCTCCGTGAAAGTTCTCACAAGGCGCAGTTTTTTCACTGCTTTGATCATAAGCGCAATGCTGAACTTGTGACCCTTTGCAATATACTAAAGACTTCCGATTGTGTACGCTTTTCTCAAAGGAATGTGACATCATTCGAAGGAACTTTTCCTCTTGCGTTCTTTAGCAGCGAAGCTCGAAGTGCTTCCCACACATGAAGTCCGTGACCTAAGTGGCGAGTCTGAGGTGCTCAACCTACTCCTTGCCAGCTTCCCATTCACAGGTGGTAGACCGTAGGCAGAGCCACAGGACAAGAATCTTCCAAATTCTTGTCCTGTGGCTAGCTCAAGGCGAGACACCACCACCAAAACAGGTCCAGCACCTCTGATGGAGTCAAGCCGTGGTAAACGACGTATGACTAAAGTCTTGCTTGGCATGTCGAGACGGCAATAAGGTTGACGTCAAATTTGACGTTGTTGGGAGGAGACATTGTTCAAAGACAAGTCCAGAGAGGTCATGGAAAAACCCTTTAAACTTGTAAAGAGAGTTTCGTCGACTAAAATAAAATCTCAGACTAAGGCTTTCTACAAAATATTATAATTGTCAAGGCTAGAGAAGAGAGTGCTAGAGTAAAAAAAAAAAGTCAGTTTAGAAATCTTCGCAGTCAAACGCATAAGAATGAATGCCCGTTCAAGGCTAGTGTAACCGAAAAAGATTCATGGCAGTTGCAGGTGGGCGGTTTCCTCAGCAAAAACCTTTAGATTTTGAACCTGGGGGACCCTTTCATAGTTGTAACTTCCGAAGAAATATTACATTTTTTACAGAAAGGAGTCATATGCAAGCGGCAAGTAGGTTTTCTATTGATGTCGAGAATTTATTATACTCAGTTCCGTAGGAACAGCTGCTGGAGTGTTAAACTTTCCATTGAAGAAAATCCAGAAATTATTTCCCGGAATTTATTTGGCGTCAAGGCAGAAGGTTCTTTGGAGCTGTTGATTCATTACCTATGCTCCACTGCGGTTTATTTCGAAAAAACCTTTGTGCAAAAGTGTGGGATCTGCATAGGCTCCAAGTAGCACCAGTTCTATGCGTAACAGTTTTTAGACACATTTACGATTTTTTTTTGTGTCGGTGTCTAATTATGTTGAGTCGATTGACGAAGTGATGTGTGGACTGATTATCCGGTCGAAAACGAAATCAGAATAAATTAATGGTACCGCTGCAGTGACACGAAATATGATCCTAGCCGAAATATTACTTCAACGTGAAGCCGCGTACTCCACTAAAACCTTTCTTAAAGATGCGACCAGCCGCTCTTTAGCGGGCGGTAGGCGGGTTAGCTTTTAGTCAAGGAACACTGCCGCAGCACTCTTGTGACGTCACGTCGCAGTGGAGCTGCTGTTGATTGGTTGTACCGTGTACCACAGC